TGGAAAAAGTGGTTCATGAGTCCTGTCAATTCAAAGAGCATTTAAGATTAGCAACTGCATATAAAATTTTGAAATGCCATGAAATTTTGAGATCATATGTGAAAGTTGGTAGATGCTTTCCCAAATTTGACAACATTCCTAAAAATGTATATACCATTACCAATAAAAAGTAATGAAGCCAAAAGATATTTTTCTAAAGTATTAATAATAAACACATTTTAATCAATCATGCTAGAGGAAAAACTGAATTATCCTGTCTGTAGAAAATTATAAAATCATTGCCATATGAAGAGGCAGTGATAGTCTGCAACCAAAGATCACAGGAGAAAAATATTAATGTGTCAAGAAATTCATAAAATCATCATATTTATCTGGGTTTTTATGTTAGTTGGATTTCTCAGCTTTTTAAAATGTGATTTTGGGCCCGCCCCGTGGCTTAGCAATTAAGTGCACGTGCTCCGCAACCTGTGGCCCAGGGTTCACATCCCGGTCGCGCACGGACGCACCGCTTCCGGGGCCATGCTGAGGCCGCTCCCACATACAGCAACTAGAAGTATGTGCAACTATGACATACAACTATCTACTAGGGCTTTGGGGGGAAAAAAAAAAGGAGGAGGATCCGCAATAGATGTTAGCTCAGAGCTGGTCTTCCTCAGCAAAAAGAGGAGGATTAGCATGGATGCTAGCTCAGGGCTGATCTTCCTCACACACAAAAAAAATAAATATTAAAAAAAAATAAAATTGATTTATTATTTATTTTACCATTCTGAATACTCATTTTTGTACCCAATTTTTAGTTCATGTTTTGTATTCTTTTTCTTAAAAAGGGCGCCACAAAACTTGGATTCACTTCAACCCTTCCCACAGAGGGCAGCTTCATATTTCAGAACGTAGGACGGAGTTCACGTAAAGGTTTAGGAAGTGAAGGGGAGGTGATTCCCGGGGCTGGGGGCAAGGGGGTAAGCAGACTAGTGAAAGGAGAAATAGAAAATTGGGGGCAAGGAGGACTGAGATGGGACTCCAGAAGTCAGTGGGTCGGATGTGGAGCAGTTTTGAGCTTAAGCATTAAGGCGACGCGAAGTTCCCAGGAACAGGTGCGTACAGGGACCGACGGAAAACGCAACCCTCCCTCGGATGCTCAGGAGCTGAGCGCGGAGGGACTGAGCTGCGTCCGAAGCCGATCAACCAGCTGAAAAGCCGGTCCTGGACCTCGGGAAAGCCGACCGGCTGGGGCGACTGCGCGAGTTCGGGGTGTCAGGGCGGACGGATGGGGAGCGCGGGGAGATGCGCTCAGCACTCGCCAGGGCGGAGGCGGCGTCAGCGCGCGGTTGACTGCGAACGAAGAGCCTGCGCCTCGACGTCTTAAGGATTCCTCGGTGGGGGCGAGCCACCCCCAGGCCCTGCCTCACGTGGGAGGTGAGCGCTGAGAACCAGTAGATCCAGCGGGGCCGGAAGACGGGCTGAAGCCCTGCGCTGCAAGCCCTCCTCGCCCAGTAGGTCCGGGTCCGCTGCCCAGAGAGCCAGAGAGCAGCCCGGCGGGGAGGGGCCGAGCCCGGCCTGGAGGCGGGGCCAATTTCGGAGGCGGAGCCAGGGAGGGTCCCGGTCATGCTCCCCGGGGTGCGGGGCGTCCGGGTTGGGTCAGAGCGAAGCCTCGGGGAGTTCTGCCGCTTTGCTCCCCTGGTCTGGCCCGAGGCGCTGGAAGGTGAAGGGTCGGTAGTTTGAGAGGTGGTTTGGAAAGGGCGTGCTGGGGAGCAGGGTCGGGGGCGGCCTTCGGGAGTTCATGGGGCTGGTGGAGGAGCTGGTGGAGGAGACGTACTCCTGCACCGGGATGGTGTGTCTGCCGGGGCGAACTGGCCAACCCCAAGACAGGAACCAGCAGATAGATACCCTGTAGCTGAAGAGAGAGTCGAGCCCTGCGAGGAAGGAAAGAGGAGAGAGAAAGAAGCTTTTAGGGATGGACAGAGACCCAGGCTGAGGGGCTCTGGAAAGGATCATGGAAGTGGGCTGGAGGGGTCGGTGGGGCTAGGAGCGGGGAGGAACTAATGAGCAGGCTGCGGGGAGAAGAGGGGCTCCCCTCATCCACCTGTTGCTTGTGGTCGTAATTGCAACCCCCCTCAGCTCACTGGCAATGATAGCCACGAAGATGTTGACACAGAACCCATAGAAGGGCCAGCGCAAAGAGAGGTCAGTGCCCCGTGCTAGCTGCATTGTCATCCACTCCCCAAATATGGAGGCCACAAATATGAGGAGCAGGGCTGTGAGCGGAGAAAGCACATACCGACTGAGACAGACTCCCAACAAGGGCCCAGCTTCCCCACCCTGTCCCCTCAGTCACCTCCTTCAGGCCTGGGACACAGCTGTGCCTTTCCTAAGCCTGTGAAAATATTTGTTTCTTGCCCCTCCCCAGCATGATAGAATGTGAAGGAATGGGTAATGGCAGCTCCAAGACTCCCCAAGTGGTTCAGTGAACCTCTCTATCACCTGGGATGTTTGTACAGACCCCTACCAACACCCCAGCCCCAGGCCTGGAACACCAGACAGGTGTTCCTGAGAGACTTCTCCTCCCATGGACTCTCCTGCCACACCTGCCACGAACTTGCAAAAGGCAACCCCAGCGGGGCAGGAAGGTGAGGAGAAACACAGGACAGAGAGGATGATGGACACCAGCAGGAGGTGGTACATGGCTATGGCAGGGAGATAGATGCCTGGCAAGGGGTGCGGGGGAGAGGGAGGGAGAGAATTTAGGATGAGCCAAGTCACCTACAGCCACTCGCACCGCCTGTACTGCCCCCCATCATCCCCCTTCCCTGTCCTCCTTACTCCAGCCCCACTCCTTCTCCCATCCACTTTCTCCCATCTCTGTCCAATCCCTCCTCATTCTCCCACATCTGCCCCTCTCATGTGTAGCTGTGCTTCATGCCTCTCCACCCTCTCAGGCCTGCAGAATGCAGACTCCTCCACGATGGCGCATCCAGGTCATCCCAAAATGGAAAGAGGCCTCTAAGATAACAGAAACCCACCCCAGGAAGTCAGGAAACATGGCATTCACTTCCCTGTCTGTCTTTTCAGTCTCTTTTGGAACATGTGATTGTATTTTATGTGACTTTATTCCCCAAAACAACTCGTACCTGGTCTCCCTCTCTGCATTATCCCATTATTGGAACTTCTGCGTTGGAGCACCTGAGCTTTCTTAGTGGCGGGACTCAGGGAGGGAGAGAGGAGCTGGGAGGGAACATATATGGGGCACATGTGTAGCTCTGTGTCTGCCTCTGTCTCTCTGAGTATCTCAGAGCAGGAGGGGAGCATAGTGGGGAGGGGCTCCCCCCACCAGGAACCTTGAGGGAGCTCATGCACCAGCTCCCTCCCACAACCACTACCTTCTCTTCCTGGGCATTAGTGCCCTTGTTGCCACCCCTGGAATGCTCTTTGCCCAGATTTTCCCAGGGCTGCTTCCTTCTTCTCATTTGGGTCTCAGCTCAAATGTCACCTCCTCCAGGGTCTTCCCCAAAACCACACACACACACACACACACACACACACATACACACTCACAACTTTCTGTATAACAGCCCTTGCTGTATTTTCTTCATAGCACTCACTGCTACCTGATTTTATCTTATTGATTTCTTCACTTGGTAATTGTTCTTCCCCTGCTCCCAGAGAATGTAGGTTCCTCAAGGGCAAGGCCCTTGTCTTTTTCATCTCTGCATCCCCCAGATAGATCCTAGAACAGTGCCTGGCCCATAGAAGACACTCAATAAATAGGTGTAGAATTGAATTGAATTAAACGCAGAGATGCTTGGCTGGTCAGTAAAGGACCTTTATTGCTGACTGACTGCCCTTTTTGTCCTCTCTCCATCTTCATCCCCTCCTGGGGCCCCAGTCATACCTGGCCCTGCCCTGTCTTCTTCCCCAACCTGCAGGAGCCCTCTACCCCAGCATCTGCAAACCCACCAACGCGGCTGCCGCCTTTGATCCCTCAGGAGCCGAGTGGGCCAACACACTCAGGCCTTGCACCTGGTCTCCAAGCCCATGCTCTCAGAGACTCCCTTTCTAACCAGCCCCACCCCCCTCATAAAGCCATATTTGGAAGCACACACTCCCCTGAAGAGTCTCAATACAGCTCCAGCAACATTTATTGAGGGTTTCTCGTATGCTGGGCCCCGGGCTAGGTGAATCTCCAAAGTCATGGACATGCCAAATGCCAGGCCTTTCTCCCTCTGAGTCTCCCAGGCCTCCTGTGGTCAGTGTGGCAGTTTCTGTCCTGGGCCAGGCCTGGGCCCCCACTCGCCGGCAACTGTCTGCTCCGCTCTGTCTCATCCCTCCCCTCCCGGCATCGTGGGGGGGCAGTTTCTCATCTGGAAGCAGGCGCTCTGGATGAAGCTGGGTAGCAACACCGGCTCTCTGTTCTCTACCCACTGCTCAGCCCAGTGTTTCTATGAGAGGACCAGGATGAAGGCAAGAAAGCCCAGGAGGCTCAACAGCTGGCCAGTGATCCACAGCTTCCTTTTCTTCACCCAAACCTGGGACCCAGAGCCAGTCCAAAGCCTGAGGCTGAGTGTGGATGACTGATTATAGTTCAAGTTGGAGGATCTGCAGGCAGGAATTATGGAGGCCAAGCTTTGCGGCAAGGGAAAGGCCTGTGGGCTTCAGGGGGCCTCGGGCCCCAGCTGCTGGCCATCTTCAGTCCCTTGGGCTCCTCTGCCAGGCTGCTTGGCTGCTCTGTAACATCACCCTCCAACTGTCATGGAACCCTGGCCTCTGAGAGACCCAGAACCCAGGGCTCTCATCCCCAGCTCTGGCCTCTGGCTGCCAAGCCACACCCAGTGCATTCTCCTCTGGAGCTCAGACCTAGTGTCTTGGAGAGAATAATACGAAAAACGGAGGATGAGGGAAGAAATGGAGCACCCAGTCATCTGGGAGGGGACCAAGACACACACACACCACACATCACGTTCAGCAGAATCAACTTCCCTAATACGCACACATACGCACATGCACACACACACAGATTCTCTGAGAAACACACTCTGGATTCTTCTAGAAGAGAAGAAGTGGCTTGAGAGGGCACATGAGGCACCCTGGGAATGGAATCTAATACTTCCCAGACTCAAAGGGCAGGCCAGGTTGTTGCTGTAGAAACAAGCAGCGTCACTACTGGTGTCTTGCGCCCAGATCACCATCTTCTTTGGCTGGATGGGTCCCTGCTCATTACTGTTGGCTATTTTAATCCTAGGACTTTATCTACAACTCGGCCCTTTTTTAAACCGCATTGACCTAGCTTTGTCTTCTTTGGCTGTGAGCATAGCAGGGATACTCATTAGCCAAGGACTCAGCCAGCTCAGCACCCATTGGCCGCTCTGTCTCCATTGGCAACACACCCAGGCCATCCCCACTCTCCTTCGTTGCCTGGGCTCCGACAGCCCTCTTTTCATTGGCTGCTCTGTCCTGAAGCTCGGTCCCTATTGGTTGCCACTAGAGGTAGCGTTTTCACTGACAGCGAATCCAGTGGATGGATGGGCTTTGTCCTCTCCATGCCTCACTGCAGCTATCCCAACCTGTGCCCCCTCCTCAGCCTGCATTAGGGTGGGGGGGCACTGGGGGTGGCTGAAGAGGGCCCAACAGCCTCAAGGAGCCTCTGGTGTTGGCGAAGGTGCTTCCTCCTTTCGTGTTCCCCTGTGACTTCACACACCAACTGGGCAGGGAAGGCCCCAGGAAGCCCCTTCAGCCAGCCTGGGGAAAGAGAGACAGGGGCCCAAGTGGGGCCAGGGCAGGGGACGGATCAGGAGGGAAAGGTGGCACCATGGGGTCTAATGCCTGAGGGTCATGGTGAGTATGGGAATTAGTATGGAAGCCTGGAGCATTGGTGGAAAGGCCATTGGAGGTGGAGGTGACAGCAGCATCAAAAAGAGTCAGGGTCACTCCTCTGTCAAGCCCTGCAGTGGCTGCTCATCTCACTCAGAGCCGGAGTCCTTATAGGGACCTAGAAGGACCCGCATGATCTGGTCTCCATTATCTCTATGACCTCATCTGCTTCTCTCCCCTTTCCTCACTCCTTCTAGCCACACTGGTCTCCTTACCGTTCCTCAAACACACCAGCCATAGATCCTGTGCACTGAGTTTTGCCTCTGACTGGAACACTCTTCCCCCAGATACCACGTGCCTAAATTCCTCACCTCGGTCACGTCACTGCTCACATGGTGCCTCCTCAACGAGGTCCACCTCGCCCTCCCTATTTAAACTTGTAACCCTACCCAGCCCCAGCACTCCTGACCTTGACTCCGCTCCACTTTTGTTTTTCCGTAGCACCTATCATCTTCGGACACACTACACAATTTACTTATTTATCTTGTTTACTCTTTATTGTTTCTCCCCTGCTAGAATGTATGCTCCAGGAGGGCAGGAACCTCTGCGTGTTTGGTTCACAGTGCCTAGAACAGCGAGCGGCACCTTGTAGGTGCATGATAAGTATTCACTGAATGAATAAATAAAAGCAGCTCTCACCCTCAGGGCTCTTGTGCAGGTGCTTGGGGGCAGCCCTGGACTGCAGACTCCGTCCCTCAGTCTTGGCTGGTGCAGAAGGCTCCGAACACAGCTCCTGGGAACAGTCTGGTTGGGTGGGTGACATTACAGTGGGATCAAGACTCTTTTTAGCTTCTCCCCCATATTCTCCTTAAGACTCGCTTTCCTTCCCTCCTCCCCTCTAGGAGATACTCACCACAGTCCTCATAGAGGGTGTCTGAGGAGCAGGGAAGGGGGCCTGGGGTAGGGAAGGCTCCCAGCCAGCGCTGCATGTCTGATCTGGTGGGGATATAGGGAGGGGTCACAGTGGCCCCGGAGACTTTTCTGGGGATTAGACAGGGGCCTTTGTGGGGAGAGATTGGGCAGGAGAGTTGTGGGCTCTGAGAGGTCAAGTGAGGGTCCCAGGGATGTTTTCTGAAGGAGACACAACTCACAGGGATGAAGCTTGGAGTAGCCGGTGGGTGGGGCGGCCCTGGTGGTTGCTGAGAAGGGAGAGGCGGAATGTAGGGGGTCCAGATGGGTCTGGAACCTGCTGGGCCTGGACCAGGGAGCGATGGGCGTAGTCCAGAACCTGTAACCTCTGCCCACTGCCCAGGGAAGGGGAAGTTCAGAGGGAGAGCAGAGGTCCAGCTGGACTCCTCCTCCCCACCCCTGCCTGGGCTCCCTTCCCTCCCTAGGACCCACCTCTTGGGTTGAGTGATGAGCAGCAGGTCACTAAAGAGCAGCAGGCAGAGGGGGGTGAAGCGGGGACGCGAGGTGAAGAGCACACCCCCCCTCCGGCACCCTAACTCCGTCAGCTCCCCCTGCAACTCCAGGCGCCTCGACCAGGAGACCAGGGGCAGGGCCTGCGAGGAATCAGGGAGGAGGTCTGGCTTCTTCCCAGCACCATGGGGAAAGGGAAGGTGAGGAGTCTGGGCAGGGACTAACCTTGACTTTGTGGAAGCGCAGCCTCTGCGTCAGCCGGATCAGCTCCTCAGTCTGCTTCATGCGCCCCACCTCGGCGCTGCAACGCTCAATGATCTGGGTAAAGAGAGCCAAGTCACTCACCCCTACTCCCTTCCACCCCTTCCATCTCTCCCTATCGACTCATGACCTCCCTCAGCCTCAGCATCCCCCCTGCCCACCTTGCTGACAGCACCCAGGGCCTTCTGGGCATTCTCCTGGCGGCTGGACCCCTCCTCTGTCTGGTGCAGGATATTCTGGGGACAAGGAGGAAGAGTGATTGGGCTCCTGCTCTGCAGCCCTGGGATTCGGAGGGACTGCAGCTCAGAGGACCCTGCCTGGCTTGGCAAAATGCTCAGTGTGGGGTTTACAAGGCTGGGGAACCAGCCTCAATAAGGCTGAGGGACTTCACCACTCACCATCTGCATAACCCTGAGCAAGTCATGTTACCTTTCTGAGTCTCAGTTTCCCCAACTGCAAAATGGGGGTGATATTCACCTGGCATACCAATAGCACTGTTGTGAGGATTCAAGGTAACATATGTACTTAGCGTGGTCCTTGGGACATAGTAAATGCTGAAGGGAGGGTTGTTATTATTTCAATAATTATTAACCACAACTATTGGTACAAACAATATAGCAGGGTGGTTAAGAGGGCCTGGATTTAAACTTTGTCTCCATCAATTATTATCTGTATGACCAAGGGCAAATTATTTAAGCTCTCTGTGCCTCAGTTTCCTCATCTATAAAGTGGGGTCAATAATAATTCCTGCCATACAGCTGTTGGTAAGTTTAGATGGGTATATAGCACTTAGAGCCATGCCTAGGACAGAGCACTTGGTAGCTGTTCAGCCATTATGATTATGTGGTCTACACTGGGGATATATAAAGCTGAATAAGAAATAAAGACGCTGATAATCTAGTTGGGAACTCTTCACATGAGACCCCCACATTGGGCGACCTGGTTTAGGGAGAAGTTTCTACTCTGCAATAGCAGAGTATTTCTCAAGCTTTTTAAAAATTTTTTTCCAGTATTACTCCATTAAGCAGGCTTTTTAGACATTTTTTCCCTAATTGTCCCCCCCACCATGAAATTTTAATAGACAGATATACTGTATATCTATTTATGTACCATGGCCCTTTGAAGTACTACAACCATTGGAATATTTAAGATTTTTTTCACTCCCCAAAGAAGGAATTTTTGCCTCCTTGGGGGTGATATCCCCCCATCGGGAAGGCAACAGTGAAAGATACAGTTGAGGAGAAAAGACCACTCACCACATTCCCCCTGAGACCCAGAGAGAGGAGGGACTTGCCCAGGGTCCCTCGGTTAGAGACAGAGCTAAGTCTAGAACGCATGTCTCTAGCCAGAGGCTCTTTTCCTGCACCCAGTCTGCTCCCGGAGACGTCTGGATAGCTCCAGGTAGGACCCAGTGGTCCTGGATTGAGAGGCCCAGATTAGGAGTCCTGGTTTAGGGGATCCCTGTGTCCGCGGTGGGGTGGGAAATGGTGGTGGCCGGCCAGGAGGCCCGTGGGGAGAGGTCTCCGGCGGGGTGGTGGGGCGGGGAAGGCCCGCCCGGCGGGTACCTGCAGCAGCATGCGGAGCCGCGTGATGCGCTGGAAGGGCAGCAGCAGGAAGGACGGCAGCGGGAGCCGCTCGCACTTCGGGAGGCTCTGCAGCCGCCGCAGCTCCGCGGAGAAGCGCACGTTCGTGTCCCTGCAGAAGCGGGCCCAGGCGGCTGGCGTCTGCCTCGAGGCCCTGATCCCCCAGCCTGCCCTGGCCTGGACCCCACCCCTGCTCCGCGCTTCCTCCCGCAAGCGTGACGGGGCCGCCGCCTCGGGAACACTCACATGAGGCGGCTGTAGGTCTCCTCCTGATACTGCTGGTTCCGCACGTAATCCACGTACACCGAGAAGGGCCCCACGGCGTGGGTATGCACCACGTCGCACAGGTCGCTGATGTGCGGGGAAGAGCGCACACGGGACAGTAACGTCCCTAGAAAGCTGAAGGAGCAGGGGAACAAGCAATGGAGAGGACAGAGAGCCAGGTCTCCTGGGTTCTCGAGGGAAGAGCCAGGCACTAACTGGGCTCATGGAAGGGAGGCCCTGGGACAGGGAGAGAGCTAAGGAGTGTCAGCAGCCCGAGGCCTCGTTTGCTGAGAGGACGGGACCCCACTGACCGCTCACTGACTCCCTGGACTCGTTGCACATTGGAGAAGAGGGTGTGGTGATCGCGGGGGGTGAGCGTGTCCCTGAGAGCCTGGCTCAGCACAAAGGTGTCCGTCAGCAGCCGGAGGGAGCGCAGGTAGGAGGCCTCGGATGTCACCACCTCGAACAGGCTCTGAGGAGGAAGGGCAGGGCAATAGGGGCAAGCCCAGCTCCCAGCCAGCCCAGGACCCAGGTCACGCACTGCCCCACACCCGGCTCTGCCCGGCCAGACCCGAGGGGTACCCACCTCCTGCATGCGCCTCTCCTGGGGGCTGAGGGTGTCCAGGAGGCCGCTGGCTCGGACGGCCGGAAGCTCCTGCCACAGGGTGTTGCGAGGTCCAGGGGGTCTTGGGAAGGTGGGAGCTTCTCCAGGGTTTGTTGGAGAGGGACCCCCATCCTCACCGACCCCCCACAGCTCCTCTGACAGCACGGCTGCTCGATAGGTCTGGTACAGGGGCTCTGGAGAGCAGACACAGCACATCAGGAAAGTCCAGGGCCCCAGCATCCTTCCCCACTGCTTGATGGTCATGGCAGCGACCCCCAGGTCCAGAGGCCCTCACCATCCTGCAGGGGTAGCTCCCAGTTCTGCTCCTTCAGCTCATCCAGCCCCTCCTCGTCCCTGTGGAGAAAGAAAGGGATAGTCTCCCAGAGCCCCCACTGTTGCACACCTCCAGGGGGCGCTATTCACATGCTGGCGTAAGGGAGTGCATGGCCCATATGCAGGTTGTATGCAGGGACCCTGACAGTTCCCCAGACCAAACTCCAGATGTGTGTGCGTGTGTTTGTTTGTTTGTTTATTTGTTTTTTGGTGAGGAAGATTAGCCCTGAGCTTACATCCATTGCCAATCCTCCTCTTTTTGCTAAGGAAGATTGGCTCTAGGCTAACATCTGTGCCCATCTTCCTCTGCTTTATATGGGACGCTGCCACAGCATGGCTTGACAAGCTGTGTGTCGGTCCGCACCCCGGATCCGGACCTGCAAACCCCGGGGCCACCAAAGTGGAGCGCGCAAACTTAACTGCTAAGCCACTGCACTGGCCCCAGATTTTTTTGTGTGTGCCTGTTGTATGGGAGGCCCTGAGCTAAGCGGTCTCCATCCATTACTGTTATCTCAACTGCTGTGTACCAGAAACTTCCAAGTCACTATCTCCAGCCCTCTCGTGTAGCAACCATTGTCTGGAATGTCCTATTTGTGCTTCAGTGAAACTCAATATGATCAAACCCAAACTCTTATACTGCCTCGCCACTTGCTCTCTGTCTTCCCTGTTCTGGCCATCGGGGCTACCACACACCCATTCGCCCATGATAAAAACCCCGGAGAATGAATACCAGTAAACATTTGTTGAATAAATGAATGGGCTCAGATTAACTCTGATAACAGTAGTGAATCTAAAATGATTAACAATCCCAGATAACACAGAAGAGATGTTCGTGGTTGTCAAATGGATTTGCGGACAATAATTGGAATAGAGGCTCAAGGTGGGGGAACTAAAATGGAGCACTTACTATGGGCCTGGCTCTTTACCATTATTATAACCCAACAACTCTACGAAGTAGTTGGTATGCTTACCCCTGTTTCACAGAGGAGGATGCTGAGACCTGGAGAGGTTAAGTGACTTTACATAGGTAATGAAGGACAGAGCTGGGATTAGAAACCAGGGCTGTGGGGGCCGGCCCCGTGGCTTATCGGTTAAGTGCTTGCGCTCCGCTACTGGTGGCCCGGGTTCGGATCCCGGGCGCACACCGACGCACCGCTTGTCCAGCCATGCTGAGGCCGCGTCCCACATACAGCAACTAGAAGGATGTGCAACTATGACATACAACTATCTGCTGGGGCTTTGGGGAGAAAAAGAGGGGGAAAAAAAAGGAGGAGGATTGGCAATAGATGTTAGCTCAGGGCCGGTCTTCCTCGGCAAAAAGAGGAGGATTGGCATGGATGTTAACTCAGGGCTGATCTTCCTCACAAAAAAAAGAGAAAAAGAAACCAGGGCTGCTTATCTCTAGAGCCCCAGCCCTTCACTCCATCTTTGTGGAGGTGAGATTTAGCTGGATCTGAAGGTTAGTCCACCCTCAGGTAGGAGTCAGGGTCGGGGTATTAGGTACCTGTCCTCCATGGTTGCTGGGGGAGCATTCTGAGGAGCTTCATCCGGACTGTCCCCTAGAGGGAGAACCCAGAGTGAAGAGAACAAACTTCCAGGATCCCCAGCCCAGGGCTCCTGACTCCAGCCCCAGCAGAGACTGTTACTATAAAAATTACAACTCCCATCAGCCCCAGAGCAGCCGCTTGTGGAGGAACAAAAAGCCCAGGGCCTGTTGGGCGTTGTAGTTTGTTGGTTTTTAGAACACTCCACCTCCTTCCCTTCCCTTCCCTTCCCAGCTCAGAGATCCACTCCCCCAGGCCCTGTACCTGTTTGGATTCCATCTTCAGAGGGCACATCGAGATCTGGATGTGGGGGATCCCCAGAGATGGTGGCATCCTGCCTGACCCGAGTTGGTTTGGGAGGTTTGAGGGGTGGCAGGAGTTTGCGCTCAGCAGTGGAGCGGTAGGATGTGAGGACGACTGGGGGGTGACTGATGCTTGGAGGGTTGGGGCGGGAGCGGGAGGCCCGCAGTGGGGAGGCCCTGCAGGGAGCCTTGGGACCGTCCTCTTTGCTCCCCACAGGGACCCATCGGAGCTCCAGCCCAGGCCGGGCTACATGGCAGACACAGGGGCAGCAAGGAGGGCAGGCCAGGGCAGCATCTGTGGGAGACAGGGGTGTCCTAAGGAGAAGGCCCTTGGGGCCAGGTCCCACCCTGCCCAGGCCTCCGTCCTCCCCTTAACCTGCCCAGCAGCGGGAACATGGTCCCGCCCCAGGCATCTATCTCCTCAACCCTGACTCTCTTCAAACCCCCAGAAATATGGGAACTAGATTTTCCAAACATGAAATTCATTTTTGAAAAGGCATCCCCTGAAAGTACCACGTTTAAAGCACTGAAAACAAAAAAGCTGAGCTGGATTGAGCCCACCCTAGCCCCAGGACATGCTTACCTGGAGCACCATTCTGCTGGGACCCACTCCTGGTGAGGATGCCCTGGGGAGTCTCCCTCTCCCCGTTGACATCCGCTACCCCTTGGGGACCTGGCTCCAGATCGTCCTCAGCCTGGACCTTGCCTTCAGCTCCCCACTCAAACCTGCCAGCCAGTCTCCGCACAGTGCCTGGGGCCGAGGCAGGGCCATCCTGGGTGAGGACCTGGGCCGCGGGGAGCAGGGGCAGAGGTGTGTGGGGTGACCCGGAGGGTTTGGGTGGGGGGACTGGAGACCGGGGAGCAGGTTCTGGGGAGACAGAGCGCCGAGACACTGGACTAGGGGTGCTAGAAGGCGAGTCTGGGGAAGTCTGGGAGTCGAGGCTGGCTTTAGAGGCTGAGGGGGGCAGAAGGGCAGGGGGCTTGAGGGACGAGGCTGGCGGCTCCCAGAAGATAGGGGTGCACATTGGGGATGGTGCATCATTGGAGGTGAGGGGAGGTTCTTGTGGAGAGGAGCCGTTATGGGGAAGTCCTGGGGACTGGGCAGTGCGGGGACGAGAGGGGGGGCGGGGGCGGATGATCCGAGGGGGCTTCTGGGTAGGGGGTGTTGCTGCAGGAAGAGACTGGGCTGACATCTTCCTTTGAGCTCTTCAAAGGAGTGGGGTGCTCTGCTGGAGTCATCCCCTGAGGAAGAGAGAGGGAGAAAGAGAGACCCTTAGTGCCCCCCAGCTGGGTAGACTGAGGCCTCTGAGCAGAAATTGTTTGCAAGCAAATGAGCCATGATTTTGGAGTCAGGAGAGAAGACTGGTACACATCCTCTCCTTCCTCATTTCCACCGTCTCCTCTCCACCTCTCACCTGTCCCTCTCCTCTCATTCCCTGAGGCCCCTGAACCTTTCGGGCAGGCTTTCTTGGTCCTCCCAGACTCCATTTCTTTCTCAGTCTTTTGGCTTCTGCCGCCACATTCAGGCCAGAGGAGACAGTGAAGCTGGGGTGGGGGCGCCTAGGTGGAGACTCAGGTTGCAGGGGTGGAGTACAAGAGAACTGGGACAGTAAGGGGAATTCGGCTTGCGGGTATAGCCACAACATGTCTGCCAGACCAATTGTGTGTTATGTGTCGTGATGTGTGTTGTGGAGGTTTGTGTGTGTGGTTTAAGTGTGTGTGGACAAAGTGTGTTGTGCTGTTTCGTGAATGAGGTGTTATATGATGTGTTTTGAGAGTGTACTTGTTATGTGCTTACTGGGCTGGTGTGCGGAGGGAGAGTGGAGTACACAGTGTACAGTGTGTTGTGTGAGAGAGAGGGTTGCGAGGGTTTATGTGTGTTATGTGCTGTTTGTGTGGGGCCTTTGTGCAGTGTGTGTGTATCTGTGCACCCGTGCCTCCATGCCTGAGCTGTGAGGGATGCATCACTATTTCCCTGCTCCACTGGGCTCTCCGCCCCCCATTTCCCAGTTCCTCTCTCCGGACTCTCCCTTTCCGGATTATTTTTAGTCTCCTTTTCCTGCCATGAAGATTCCTGGAGCCTCTGACCCCAAGAGACCAGGAGGCCCCAGGCATGGTCTCTCCTGCCCCATCCTCTTTTCCCTGCCTGACCCTGTTCCTCCATCTGGTCACAGTGGAAGCCGGGGTCCTGCCGGGATGCCTGGAGGGCGGTCTGGAGACCAGTCTGAAGGCGAGGACCAGCAGGGCCAGGGCGCTGGGGCCTGGCCTTCACTTCCTCCCTCGGGGAAGGCAGCTGCTATCCTGAGGAGGCTCCAGGGTCAGGGCTGGGAGATGGGGGCACTCCCAGACTCACTTCAGGAGTCAGCAAGAGACTCAGACCCCTCCAGGCCCTGGATTGGGTTCTTGAGAAATGATGCAGGGTGGGGGCTAGAGGCTGTGGACTGAGTCTTGCAGCTCAATGGCCTCTGTGTTCTGGCAGGAAGCCCCTTATCTAGGTGACACAGGCAGCGGCCTCGCCAGCTGGCCAGCTCCTCCCCAGCCTTGCCCACCCCCCAGGGCTCCCACCCCCCTCTCAGGTGCCTGCCTTTACTTCCTTTCCCACCCCCCACTCGGGCCTCTCGCAGGGACCCAGGTACTCGGCCCAAGCACTCACCCTTGAGTCCTCTCCACTCTCAGTCACCTCCTAGGGCTGAGTGAGTAGGGGCAGGAAACAGGAATTGGATCCTCCTCCCAACCGGACACCCCCCCACACCAAACCACACCACACTCCACATGCGCACACTGAGGCTCTGGAAGATGTGAGGGACCCCGTATCCCAGGTCCTGAAGGTTACCAGAGTCTGGGGAAAGGCTGAAACTCGGGCGTGGAGAGTGGGCTGTTCTGTATGTGCACATTCTGCCTGCACTGCTGTGTGGGTGGGGACTCACAGGGGCTGGGGTGGACAGGGGTGGGGGTTAGGACGAGGTGACAATGGCACAGGGTTGGGCTGGTGGTAGGGTACCGGCATCTAGTCTCTGCTGTATCAGCTAAGGGGTGGTGTGTGTGTCCCTCCATGGCATGTCTGATCATCTCTCCCACACCTCGCAAGACAGCCTGTCCCTTTAGCTTCCAATCTGTCCCCCTGGGTGTGAGCCAGCCCACTATTTCACACCAAGGGACCCCCCCACCGCCAGGCTTCCCCTCCCTTACTCTGCAGTAGCTCCCCCTGAATTTACCTTTATCTCTTTGGAAGCAGTTTCTATTTTCAGCCTCTCCTGCCTGCCCCTTGGAGCAAGGAGTATGGGGCCAGGTCTCCGAGTGTCTGTTCCTGTGTTTCTGGGGCGGGAACTGAGGGCCCAGATTGAGATCTCCACAGAGGAAGCCGGTTCCTCAGCCCCACCCGGCCATTGTGTCAGGCATGTGTGTGTGTGTGTGTGGAGAGGAGGGAGAGAGGGCCCGGGGATGGGAGTTGGGAGATGGGGAGGTGGGGAGAGAGATCTGAGATCTGTCTCCTCCAGGTGGGTGTGATGTTTGCTGGGACACCTTCTGCTCACCATTCTCAGCTCCTGTCTCTCGGTCCCAGCTCCCTGACTCTCCCTGTCCCACTGGGAGGCTTTGATGTTGATTGGCTGGGAGTCAGTACCCCTGGAGGTGGGTGGGCAGGAGTCTCCCTCACCTCTAATTTGCTTTATAGTTGAGCAGCTGAGTTCCCAGGGCTGAGGGGGTGGAATGAGCCACACCCCAGCCTGGGAAGTAAGATAGTGGGAGGAAGATGCAAGGGCAGTTATGAACTCGAGGGCCCTTTGCCCACGCCCAGGTGCCTGCCTTTGCCAGACCGTCTGACATACACACACACACACACACACACACACACATACACACGCTCTCCAAACAAGACACTGGGAAGAAAAGCCAGAAAACTGGGATAAAAATATATTTTAACCCCCTTTTCCTCAGAGTAAAAGCCAAAATCCTTACAATGACCACCAAGACCCTATACTATCTTTCTTCCTCCCTAACCTCTCCTCTCAGGCACATTCCTGCCTCAGGGCCTTTGCACTGGCTGTGCCTTCTGCCTGGCAATCTCCTTTCCAAGACATCCTCATGGATGATTCCTTTACCTCTCTTAAGTCATTGCTCAAAGATCACCTTCTCAATGAGGCCTACCCCACCACTCTTTAAAATTGCAACCCACAACCTCACACCACATTCTGGACCTCTCTTTTTTCCCATCGCAATCATTCCTTATAACATATCATATGGTTTACTATTAAATCGACATATCATGTCTATAGTTCATTATCATTTCACATTAGAAAGTAAGCTTCCTAGAGGCAGGATCTTTATCTGTTTTGTTCAGTGATGTATCCCAAGGTGGTGGAACAGAGTCAGGCATGTAAGAGGAGATTCATATTTGATTAATTGAACCAAACTGAATTGAATCCTACACACACACATGCACACACACACACACACACAGATGCGCGTGTGTGCCACGACCAGACATCCAACCTCCCAGCCCTCACCTCTAGATCCTTTTGGGCTTCCAGGGAGAGGAAATCTCTCCAAGAGTGCCTGAGAGACCTTCTCAAGAAACTTAGATACACATGTGTAGCCAAACAAATCTTGTTTTGTTTTTACTGAAATAAGAATATCTTTATTAGTTTTGCTACTTACAAAAATAACATTTAAAAAGATAACTAACCCAAAAGTGCTGATTGTTGGCTGCAAACACGAATGGCACTTGGTAGTGCATGAACTGCCCCAGGTCTGACTGGGGATGCGGGCAGGAGAAGAGGAATTAGGTGGGTTGGGTCGCCCCTGGGCCTCTACCCATCCTCCCTAGCTGATCTGAGCTTATTTCCTTTTCCTCTCTCCATCCCCAACAGACAGACCCACTTGGAGGCTTTTAACCTATCAGTCTGTTGGGGAGAGACTTCCCCCACTACCAAAGGCAGGGCAGCATGTTTCGGGGGAACTGAAGCTCCCTGGAGCTACACTGAGAATGTTCTAACAATCCTGACAGAGGTTCCATTGGGCCCACTGCTCAAACCAACCACGAAGATGAGAACCATGACTTTTCAGATCTATACAAATCACCCTCTGGTTATTTATGCCCCATCTCATTCCAAAAAGAAACTGAGCTCTGAAAATCATATCACGTGATATACACCAGATTATTTTTGCACAAACATATTTTATTTATCATACAAATGTTCCTGCAAAGGTACTGAAGGTTTTTAACGTAACGATTCATTCTCCCACCATCCCCACAGAGCAAAAGGTTTCTATTTCTCCATATTCCAAAGGTGCCATCATAGTTTCAAGTCTGTATTCTGCCTCTTTCTCTTAGCATTGCTTTATAACTATTTTTCATGTTGCTACATGGTCTTTGTAACTATACTTTTTTCTGGAATGTAATATTGCATCAACTAGATTTTGCCATCGTGATACCAGCAGTAAAAGTCTTCTAGGAAATTCTTCATCCCCTACCTGACTCCATATGGTTCCAATGGGACAGCCAACCACAACAGCCTCCTCCTGGCCCCCTGACCCAGGTTTGGTCAATCACGGTCTCCCATTGCTCTGGCCACAGAGACTGGCCCAGGAAAGAGTAAGTCACCCAAATCAGAACAGCCTCCTTCCCTGCGCCTCTGGGAAAGAGCAGCTTTCTTTTTCCTCCAAGGTCACAAAGCAGGAATAAGGTAAGTCTGGAGCAATCTGTGTCTTGGCCTCCCTTCCCCCACAATGGAGAAAACTAGTCAATGGGGGGATAAAATGAGCCCCATACCCGTGGGAAGTAGAGCCAAGAGATGGAGGGGGCCTGACAACATCACTTGAGCCCCTTGGACGGCCCAGTTTCCTGGGCCACTGAATTCCTTTTTGTGCTTAAGCTAGTTTGAGCTGGGTTTCTGTCACTTACTGCTGAAAGAATCTTGACTACTCCAATTCATTCCCTACTGCAAGACATTTGGGTAGCTTCCAGTTTTTGCCAATATAGTTAATGCTGCTGTGAACATCTTTGTGCAAAACAAAACACTTTCAATTTGGAATATGATTAATGAAGTAACCCTAGAAGCTTCGATTGTGATTGGCTTTGGTTTTCCTTGAAGATTCTTTTCTGGAAGGATGGAGGAGTCCTCAAGTCTTTATCTCTCATCTCTTTACCTCCACATCAGGCAGCCTCGACCCTCCTTCAGTCTTCCTTATGTCACTCACTTGGTTGTTAGGAAAGGGTTCTTGGAGGATAGGCACTTAGACTGTTCCTTGAAAATCAGGTAGAGTTTGGCCAGGCCAAGAGGCAAGACCTCAGAGACCATTTGGGAAGACCAGGGAAGCACAGGCACAGTGAACAGGAAAGTACGCCCATCTGGAGAACTGTGAAAAGAAAGCTTAGCTGAAATGAAGAGAGGGGTATGAAGCTAGAGGAACAACTAGAGGCTACACTGTGGGCAACCCGACAGGGCGGAACAGGCACTAAAGTTTTCTGAGCAAGGGTGAGGGGGTGGGCAGCAATAGTTTTAACCAGTTCCACACCCATTCCCCCCTCTTCCAGTACCAGCACCTGGTTTTCTTTTTGGGACCTGCCCCTCCATCATTCTAGGTCCACATGGCCCATTCTGGGGAAATGTATGGCCCAGAAACAGCCAGTCAACACATTCTCTCTTCCCCGGCTACCGAGATTTGTTCAGGGGTGAGGATGTGACACAAGCAGGGCCAAAGCATAATCCATGCAGGACTGCTGTTCAAATTATTGGAAAAGAAACTCTACTCTCTCTGTTAGACTGTTTTCAAAGATGGCTGCAACAATTCCTCCCATCCCAAATGCCCTTTTGCAATGTGACTTTGCCACTCCTCCTGTTAAGAGAAAAAATCTATTCCCCTCCCATTCAATCTGGGTTGGCCCTGTGACTTGCTTTGCTCAAAAGAATGCGGAGGAAGTAACACTGCCTGTTTGGGGCCTAGGCCTTAAGAGAACTGTCAGCTTCACTTTGTTCTCTTAGAAGCCAGCCACCATGTATGGAAGCGTGGGTTAGACTACTGAATGGCGAGAAGCCACGTGGAGAGAGCAGCTACTTGGAGAACCAGGATGCCCCAGCCATCAGCTAGGACCGGGATCTTAAGACATGTGAACGGGGCCATCTTGGATCCTGCAGCCCCAGTCAAGCACCCACCTGACACCACAGGGAGCATCCCCATTGAGCCCTGCCCAAATTCTGGATCCACAAGCTTGTGAGCAATGAAATGGTTTGTGTTTTAAGCCACTAAGTTTTGGGTTGATTCATTATGCAGCAATAGATAACCAAAACTCTCTCTTTCCACTGGGGATGCAAAGCTGGTGGAACATAGGCCTGGAGCTGCTGGTGGCCATCAATGATGTGGCCTGAGAATAAAACCAACATAGGGGAGAGGCAGAGAGACAGATCTGAATCCGTGATCCTGCTGGCCTGAAGTCATATCTGTGTTTGCATTTTTCATTTATGTGAGTCAATAAATTCCCTTTTTGTAAGCTAGCTGGAGTTGGGTGTCTGTCACTTACAACCAAAAAAATCCCTTACAAGGGGAGAGGAGCTCATAATGAAAGAAGTGATGAATCCAACTGGCCTCTGCTCCAATAGAATCCTTCACAGAGTACAGAACACCCTCTTTTCTGTCTAGAAAACCATGATGGGTAAGTAGCCTACCTGTGGTATGGGATAAATCAGAAAGGGGGCAGTGAGGAAAACCTGGCCTGCTCTGGGAATCATACAGGTTCTGCTCTGAGTGAGGATAGAGGATTCTGTCCAACTGCCACAGGTGGAGTCTGAGCACTTCAGGTGTGGGGTCTGGGAGCCAAAAGAAACACATCAGTGTCTAGGCCACCCTAAGCAGAGGTGCAGAAGAGGCACAGCCCGGTGCCCTCCAAACTTCTGCATCATCCTCCCTCCCTTCTCTGTAGTTCTACCCCTCCTCTCAGACACGTAGGGCCCACCTTTGTGTTCCCATTCCACTCCTCTTAAATTTGTCTCAGGACATTCATACCCAGGAAAAAATTATAACAGAGTACAGTAATCAAGACAGCATGGTATATGTGAAACAATAAACACATAGATCAATGGAAGACAATAGAGATCACAGAAATAGACCTACACAAATATAGTCAATTGATTTTTGACAAAGGAGCAGAGGCAATTCAATGGAGAAAGGATAGTCTTTTCAACAAAATTTGCTGGAACAATTGGACATCCATATGTAAAAAAAATGAATCTAGACACAGACCTTACATCATTCATACTCAAAAAAGATCATAGACCTAAATGTAAAATGTAAAACAATAACATTTATTTAAAAAATATAGGAGATAATCT